TATTAAAATTCAATCCTAAAAGATAAGTGTTAATCAACAAGCTAAAAAATTGTAACAACCGCGAATCAGAAGGACACTTCTCCTTAAAAATTTCTTCAAGTTCGTCTCCACATCGTTGCTGGCCTCTTCCTCTTTATCTCCCCCATTCAAGTTCATCTCATTTCTCCCGCAACCACCAAACTCCAACCAAAATCAGCCCATGATTCCACCGCCACCAGAGCCGCCAAGCGTACGCACACCCGCAGTATCAAAGTACGAAGGCGTAATCCCCCAGCGCGACTACCGGTGGGGCGCTCAAATCTTCTTCGATCACCAATGTATATCTGTCGGAACCTTCAGCACCGAAATAGCCGCCGCCCGAGCTCACGACAGCGCCTCCTTAAAATTCTACGGCGAAAACTTCAACCGTAACTTTTTATTAACAAAGCTTACGATTCACGAACGCCATTTTCAGGACCACTTCAGCCGCGAAGTCATTCTGGACATGATTCGGAACGGCTCCTACGAACCCAAGTTCATCGAATTCGTCCGCATGTTTTACCCTGAGTTTGACGACTCTGGCTCCGTAGCATTGCCTGATGCCTCCGATTCCTTCAATGGAGTCTTTGTTAAAGAAATGTTTCGCGTAGTGCTGACTTCGAGTGATGTTGAGAGACCCGGAATATTGACTTTACCTGCAGAGCAGGCCGTGCAGTACTTTCCGCCGTTGACGTCCGAGACACAGCATGAATTTCTCCAATTTTATGATAGGTGGCAGCGACTTTGGGTGTTTCAGTACTGTTATTCGGGTAGTGCTGGGAGCTATGTGTTGGCCGGGGGTTGGGATAGTTTTTTGATTGATATGCAGCTTGAAGTTAATGATGTCGTGGTTTTCTACCGATGTAAGGAGTGGAGAAATTTTCCTCCATTGTCTACTGATGTGATTGATGCTGTTCGTGGTGTTACAAGCAGATGCGATGTTCAGGAGGACATTCATGTGGAGGAGAGCACGTCAAGAGTTTGACACAGTAATTTCGTCACAGAAGTTAAATATCATTATTGCTTTCCATGCTGCATGCAAGATGCAGACATTTTTTTATTGGCTAAAATAATTTTCATAAAATTGAATTATTCGGCAGAGACGAAGTTATTGGATGGATTATTTTATCTTTTGGTTTGAACATTTTTCATAAATATTTATTTATTTTGCATTTTTTTTTTTAATTTTATGTCCTCACAGGGTTATGTTTGTGGCAGAATGCATAAAATGATTAATACTAATATAAATATATAAATTTATGTATGTATTTCATGGCAAACTAAACAATGTAGTATTTCAATTACACTGTAATATTTCTCTTTTAATAAATCAAATGGCACTTTTGTACAATTTATTATATGTTCATGATAGTTGAATTTTGATATCGAAACTCTAAAATTAGTTAATTAAACAATCCTTCCATCTTTTGTTTCAAGTTTATTTGCATATTAACAATTTTTTAATAAACCATTAAAAAATTAGCATCACTAATTGAAATTTATGTCAATGCTTGTGAGAGCCTTGAATTATTCCAATAAGATTATGAGATTCAGTACGTTTTTTTCATGTTTATTTATTTATTTATTTTTATTTTTGTAAATTTTGGAATATTTTTAATTCTAAATTAATTGAAAGTTTAAATTAATTCTATAAGTATTAAATTTACTAGAGGCTTTTGGGATGACCCCTTGGCGCTTCAATGAAATTTTTAGAACTTTTTGAAAGTATTTAGATTTTCTTCTAATTTATTATTTATTTATTAATAATAGTTAATTTATTAATTTTTATTTAGGATTAATAAATTTTTATTTTGCTCAAGTTCTTAGTAGATTTTATACAGTTTTAGTTTGAGACCATTTCAAAATTTTGGTGGATTTCTTATACCTAGACTTAATTAATATAGTATAGTTAATTAATTTAGTATCCTAAACTTGTTTAACTTTTAAAATAATCTGGATTTGCTGAATGTCTAACCCAACATCCCATGAAAAAATTTTGGGATGGGTTAATAGATTGCTTAAATTTTCCTTAATCATTTTTCTTAAATTAATTTATGTAAACTTTTTAATTATGCAGTTATTTTAAGTTTTATCCCGAGCCCCTTGTGAAAATTAACAGAAGTTGGGGTTAATTTCAATTAATTTATAGGTTTAAATTTCATTATTTGGATTTCGTTATATCTCTAATTTCTCTAATTTTACCTAATAAATTTAGGAACTTTAGTTTTCTCATACTTTACTCTTTTTTTAGTTATTAGAGTATTTATCAATAAATTTTAAATTAATTTTTTTATATAGATTTTTTGAATTTCTATGTGATTTTTTTTTTCATTTTTCCCTTAATTTTCTTCTGCGCTTATCGTGTTAAGGTGGACAAAATCTTCCTACGAACCTTGTCATTATATTATAAGATTTGATTATAGTATAAGATCGTTTACTGTTTCTTAGATGACTTTTGTTAATGATTGAATTTTGGCTAAACCAAACTCAAGTTAAAACAACTAAGGTTTATTCCTTGGTTTTAGCCATTGATAAACTCAATGACCAGTGTTATGCAGGCCATAGTAAGGTTATCAAGAACAAAACAAATCAATAAGGCCTCATATCGATAGGAAATCATCAGGCTGTCGCTTGCCTTTGGGTAATCTTAGTTTGTCTTTTTGACTCTTGCACTAGCAGCTTCGAATTTATGAAAATCCACTTGGTTTTTAAAATTCAAAAATGATTTTTAATTGAATCAAGTTTTGAAGTTAAATTTTGACAAAAATTAAATAAACCATCAACAAAAAATTTACTCTAAATTAAATTTTTATGTGACGCTACTAAGTTATGTTGGACTTATTTGGTTGTTTCAATCATAACCATTGCATATGTTGGACTTATTTGGTTGTTTTAATCATAACTATTGCACGTGGTTTAGTTTGTTAGTCCACCATATTTATTGGAGGTCCATTTATTTATCTCAATTTTGATAAAGGAGACCTAAATAACATCTCTTGCATTAACTCATAGTATAAAGATCTTTTTATAGTGACCTCCACATCACTCCTTTTGGTTTCAAATGAGCTCAGAGTAAAATCTAGATCATACTTTGTAGCTAGTCGTCTAATAACACGACTATAATTGGAATTAAAAGGACCCAAATGCAATTTAAACATGATTTTAGTTCAAGTTAACTCTTAGAAATCCTATAAAATTTTTGGATATTGTCAACCATAGACCAAATCTACTGTCCTTAGCCCTTTCTTAGTGACTATGGTTCCTTCTTTGAGGCTTTTTCTTTTTCTTAGAAACCTTGATTAACTATAGTTGACCAGGTGAACCTCTATTAACTTATAATGTTAACAAAACTCAACTATCTCATTTCTCTAACAGTTTGGCTCCTATTGATTTAAATATGCCTATTGATTATTAGGAATTTAATTTGAACCAATATGAAGCTTTTGAACCTTTGATCAACTCAGTTTGGCTAAGTGGTGCTTTAAGGAGCCATTAACCCAAATGCCATACAGATTGTTGACCTCATCTTTACTATTTTTGATACACTTTTACATCCTTAGCCTATAAAATTTAGTTTTAATTAGTAAAGGAGCTCCCTTATTAAACTTTTATAAGACTTTCTTAGTGACCAAGTCCGAATTAAACAATAATCAAAGAAAAATCAAGGCCTTCTTTGGTTTAAAGTTAAATCGAGTTTGTCCTTAACACAACTAATCGAAATAAAGGAAATCATAGTCAGATCATTAAGAGCAAAGATGAAAATCAAGCCCATATCTTGATGATCCTATACTTAGTGTTGTTTATTCATGACTCTTAATTATGACATAAATGACACAATTGTAATTTTTCATGCCTCATGGAAGACCTCATCTATATCTATAAATAGATGAGGGTGAGGGGTCTTGAGGGATGGTATGATCACAAGGAGAAAAGAAAATTCTGCTCAAGGATTGGAGAGGAGGAGGAGAATTCGGCAAGGAGAGGAAGATCTTGGAGAGGCTTTAGAAATGAGGGAGAGGTCTTGTAGAGAGAGAGGTCTTGTAGAGACTTTGTGATTCCTCGATGTAATGAGCTTGTAATTCTTCCTTTGTGCTAGTGAATTTTGGTAGTGATTCCCTCCGTGGATGTAGGTCAAAGGACCGCTAACCGAACCACGTAAATCTTCTTGTGTTTGCGTTATTGTGTTCTTGTTGCATCTTTTTTCCTTTCCTGTTTTATTTTCTTGTTTATTACTTGTTGCTGTCCCTGTCACCCTTGGTATCCAAGATCCGCAGGCTTAAGGAAGTGAACAACGAAGGGGTTTGCACATCTTGCAAAGCATAGAGAAGAATCTATGGAAGAAGAAAGATTCCTGTATAATCTTGCAGTTGGATTTCTAGACAGATAAGAGGATAAGACACTGCAACAAATCTTTGGTATTCCTAATCGCAACCTTTAAAGAAGGTTTGAGAAGGAACTTTTAAAGTCTACTCCAGACCGCAAGCATTTGTCTGCCATAAGGATAAGAACAACGATTGAGAAAGGAAGATCTGTGACCCAGACAACAAGCATTGGCGTATGGAAGCAAGAACCACAAGCAATTGCGTGAGGAAGCAATAACAGAAATTTGGTGTTGATTGGGGTGTTCAAATTTCAAGAAGAGATTCGATATTTTATTTTGCAATTGTGTAATTCAGCTCTTTATCATCTAACTCAATCCATAGGAGTTGTTTGGAAAAATCTTGAATCGTAGGTGTTCGGCGGAGCGGATTTCACAACACTTAGCATAGTGGAGAAAAAGTCAAGCTTAAACCAGTTAAGGCGTTTACCACACTCATAGGAATTGTCTCATTCCACTCATGAATTGACCCAACCCAACCTCCTCATTGGAAATCCACCATGGTCGTCCCTCTGTAGCCTATGTTTAGTAAGGAGTTAGGTCTAGGAATCATCAAGTTGAATAAGATATCAAAGGGAGTTTATGGAGATTCATGACGCACAAACGAATCATCAATTGTAAAGTTACATTACTACTTGAAGGTACATCTTTAATCCAACCCGAAATGCTTTGGAATTCATTATTTATGCAACAAACCATAATACTAGTTTCTCTTGCCCTTTAGATCCTTTGAGCTTGCATTGAATATGGAATGCTAATTTACATCAATAGTTAGGGAAAGCTCTGTCACAATTTAACTTTCAAGTTATCATTTTTTTGTTATCCACACATAGAAAAATCTTTTCATTGGGTAAAACATTACTGAGTGGAGAATCTACATAGATAATCTATGTTGCAGGAAAGTTATCCAAATGCAATCCTTTAATAGTTTGCTAAGGAATAATCATCTCATTAAGCATTATAAATGCATATGACAACTCACAAAGTTTTGTTTTAAGTTAAAATTAGAAATATGTTGGATTTTATGTAATAACATATGATGTTCAAATATCTAAACAACAAATATCTTTTTTATTAATTTTTTTTTTATAATTAGATAGGTCAACTGAAATTTAATAAGCTATTAACTAAAATAGTAAATGCTACCATTTTCATTAACTTGAACAAGAAGGGCGTCAAAAGATTCTGCACATCAGTGAGTGAATCAATAGAGGCGACACATCAAATTCTCTGTGGTGCAATTCTTACTACATTGAGAAGCTTGCACTAGGCAACAATTCAACTATTGTGTTGACGTGAACACACATTCATCGTCATTGCAGTGTTATTATTTTCTTATTTTTCTGATCGATTGGTAGCCAATTTTCATCTCCTCAGAAGATGTTGTTATTTTCTTTGTTGTATGTGTGTTCATCGTCAACAAGATAATTGAAGGTAGTTGTACGCATATGCACGTGACCTTCTTGTTGCTCACTGGAAGCTTATCAAAGCCGCAAGAATTTCACTTTTAAATCTTCGGCGTGTCATCTCTGTTGATTTAAGCACCGATGAGGTTTTCTTTTCCTAAATATTAATGATCCAAATGAGTGACAGGCAAGATTACAGTGAAGATGATGATGATATTGTTTTTGGGTGGCAAAGGCTATCTTTGTGGGAAAAACTTGCATATTTTGCAGATGTATTGACTCAATCTGATGCTTAGTAATGATGGTGGATTCTCTATATCATGTTGGATAGTACAAATAGGTTTTTGAGAAGAGAGGATTAAAGAACATATGGGAAAATATAACATCGAAAATATGCTTAATTAACGGGGATATTTTATGATAATTCTCATAATAATATTTTACCATAAACATTAAGCATAAATGATAAAATTAATATGGTAACATTTTTAAGTATCAGAAATCTGATATATATAATTCTATCATTAAAGAATGCGATGTTAACATATATGATTTTAAAAATTATAAATTCGTAGACTCTAGAAATATTTTAAAACTTTTTATCTAGACTTGAAAATCTTATTTAGTTAGTATTATATTCAAACTTTTAAAATGAGAAATTGAAAATGATTATAATTTTTAAGAAAATATAATTTTTTTTTATAATGTTTGAGAAATTCGAATATAACAATAAAATTTTGGCATGAATTACTCAAAACGAATATTGCTTATTTCTTTTATTTATCTAACTTATTAGACATGTATAAAATAATTTTTTGCAGGTTTTATTAGTTGATTTTTTTAATTTTTTTTTTTTATTTTTATTTATCGGCAAGACATATTATAGTTCATTATACTTGGATATAGATGAATTTTGTGTTGTAGACGCAACATCAAAATAAGGGCAATCAGCATTAGAATAGAGAAAGAAAGAGTGAACAATAGAAGCTCAAAGAATTAGACTAGACTTGTATTGTTTCCCGTAGTATACCCATTCATTGTGGCGTCTCATGATCCCTTTCCTTTCGTCTTAACTCTATTGATATATGATGTCATATAATGGTTATAAGAGTGAAAAGAATGTTATAATAATGACACGTGACGATGAGGCTGTTGAATTTCTTGAGGTCGAATTTGTTTTGCATTGTGCCCAAATCAAATTGGGCACAAGTTTATGCTTCTATCTTAATTCGGGAGCCATCGCCGAATTCTAGGGCCATATGGAAAAGAGGGAAATTGATGACTTGTTGATGTCAATTCTTCAGCCCTTTCTATGCTTGTACAAACATACACCTAAATGGATTAGATCATGCTGACTCGTAGGTGTGATTCATTGGTTAATGGGTCGGAGTTGATTTATCATATATTAAACGGGTTGGTAAATGAGACTTAGACTATCAAATTTTGGCGTGTATATGAAAAATTGCTAAAAATGATGGCAAATGATACAAGCAAAATTATTTAAGGGTTATTTGGTTGGCAGAAAAAGTAATGCAAGTTTAAAGTGAACACAATAGAGAACTAATGTATAACATTCGGAATAACTTGGGGGAGTTTAGGTCAATATAAAATAAATTTAAATTTTATATTTCTTTATTTGAATTTGAAGAAAACAGAATTCAATATAAAATATGAACACACTTACGAACGACAATAGGTGGGGTGCTAATTAGTCACCTAAAAAAGTGATGGAAAGTAAGATGAAAATTGTGGAGATGTAATGTACTATATTTGAAATAACAAGTGAATGATAGCGGCCGACGGAGTCAGCAGTCGACACAATCGCTAAATTAAACATAAGAATTAAATTAAATATTGTTATTATAATCTAAAATTACTAGCAATTGATTTCATGTGTGACACACTGGCTAAATTATTATTATTATTATTATTATTTATGAAAGGTTCACACACATACCACTCAAAGTCCATATGTTTACAAATCTAAAGTCTCAACTTTAATTTTTACACTACTGCGAGAATTTGAAAGGTAAAATTTATGTGTATATATGTAAATACATAGGAATTGGGTGGTATATATGTCTATGTCAACGGTTATTTATTTATTTATTTTTAAAATTTAATCTGTATGATGGGAGCCTTGGCAAGCTTTGCATGAAAAAAATAAGAGATATAGATAAAATACCTGGAAGAAAAATTGTAATTATTCTGTATACCTCAACATGAATATCTTCTAAAAATGACCACAAGTTCACAAATAATATCGGCAGAAAAACAAAATATTAAATATTTAGCATTATCAGTTTGATTTAGCTCAAAGAGAGTAATATAACGCACAAAATAATATCCAAAGAAGAAAATTTTAGTAGGAATACATATATATATATATATATATATATATATATTCAAAATTCAATCCATAAAGATAAGCGTTAATCAACAAGCAAAAAATTGTAACAACCGCGAATCTGAAGGACACTTCCCCTTAAAAATTTCTTCTACTTCGTCGCCTCATCGTTGCTTGCCTCTTTCTCTTTATCTCAAAAAATTATTCCATACGGATGATCGGCCCCCGCACGCATCGTGCGTGCGGTGTCCGATCCTGAGGTGATTTATGGTCAGGATGTATTTTGGTAGACCCCACCTACTTTTTTTTAAAAAAAAAAACTGAAATAATATTAACCATACCTTGATCTACGATCAGAATCGGACACCGCATGCAGAAATATCTGATTTCTCCCACAACTCCCAAACTCCAACCAAAACCAGCTCATGATTCCACCGCCACCAGAGCCGCCAAGCGTTCGCACACCCGCAGTATCAAAGTACGAAGGCGTAATCCCCCAGCATGACTACCGTTGGGGCGCTCAAATCTTCGTGGATCACCAACGCATATATCTCGGAACCTTAAACACTGAAGTAGCCGCCGCCCGAGCTCACGACAGCGCGTCCTTAAAATTCTACGGCCGTTACTTCAACCGTAACTTCCTGCTAACAGAGCTTACCATTTACGAACCCCATTTTCAGAGCCACTTCAGCCGCGAAGTCATTCTGGATATGATTCGGGACGGCTCCTACGAACCCAAGTTCGTCGAATTCGTTCGCACGTTTTACCCTAAATTTAACGACAGTGGCTCAATAGCATTGCCTGATGCCTCCGATTCATTCAATGGAGTCATTGTTAAGGAAATGTTTCGTTTACAGTTGACTTCAGCTGATGTTGAGAGACCCGGAATACTGACTTTGCCGGAGCAGCACGCCATGCAGCACTTTCCGCCTTTGATGTCCACGGACCCCGTATTACTACATTTTTTTGATAGGATGCAGCGTCTTTGGGAGTTTCAGTACTGGTATTCGGCTAGTATTCAGAGCTTCGTATTTGCCGGGGGTTGGGATAGTTTTTTGGTTGGGATGGAGCTTGATGTTAATGATGTCGTCGTTTACTATCGATGCAAGGAGTCGAGAAATTTTCCTCCATTGTCTGCTGATGTGATTGATGCCGTTCGTGGCGTTAGATTCAGATGCGATGTTATGGACATTGATGTGGAGGAAAGCACGTCAAGAGTTTCACAGTAATTTTGTTTCAGAAGTTCGATAAGGGTTGTGTTTGTGGCAGAATGCAACAAATAATTAATATTATCGGCAGTAGTTATTGCTTAAAATTTTTGAAGTAATTTTATTTATTTTTTAAATTAAACTAAATATATGAATTTATGTATGTATTTCATTGCAGACCAAGCACTAAAGTACTTCAATTACACTGTAATATTTCTCTTTTAATAAATCCAATGGCACTTATGTAACAATTTATTCATGATAGTTGAGTTTTTATATTAAAATACTATAATTAGTTAATTTAATAATCCTCCTATTTTATATTTAAAGTTTATTTCCATATTAATAAATTTTTTATAAATAATTAAAAAACTCGCATCACTAATTGAATTTTACAAGGGGTTTCTTCTAATAAAATTTCATATATAAAAAAAATGCATAAATTAATCAGTAATTACATACACTTTTTTAAAGTATGAATTACACAACAGCAAACTAAACAATTTAACTATTAATATATCTAAATTATTTTAGTTAAAATATTAAATAAATTAATTAAAAAATAACAATTAACTATTTTATTTTTGAGGAATATATGTATATTTACATATCATCTACAACATATCATGCTTACTTTTCAAACATCCAGTTCATTCACAGCACAAAATTTGCAAAACTCTAAATGATTAAAAGACTAGAACATTTTACATATTTTAGGACAAATGAACTCTCTAACAATGCTTATCTTAACTTTTAGAACAATAATTTGGATTAATTGTTTTTATAGAAAAAAAATCGCCAGCGTATAACTCTCAAGTTATCATGTGTTGGTTCACCACACTTAAGCTCATTGTGGAGTCTCCCACCTTGTGAGGCATCATGAATACATAGGACAAGTCATAAAGTTTTTTAATGAGTTAACACTTAAAATATGAATGGTTTTATTCAATAACATATGGTTTCAAAATTTCTAGGTGTTATCAATATATTTTTTGTAATAAGATGGGGCAACTCAAACGGAATAAGCTATTGACTAGCATAGTAAATGACATTCTCTTGACATTTCTCATTATATTATGCAAAAAGGGCATCAAGACACTATTTTGAATATTAAACATCAATATTAATTAATAGTACTAATAGTAAGGGTTTTGTATGGAATTTGAGCGGTAAGTATAAGACGGTGCATCAACTATTATTTCATATTATAAGATGCCTTTTCAAAGCTTTTATCTCAAATATAATGAGTATTTCTTAGCATGTAATGCATAAGAGTTACATCTATCTGCTAGGTTTTATATGAATTTTTTGAGAATGACTAGCTTCGTTATAGGGATTTCAACTATGCAATCCTTTTTGGTTCCTTTTTGGTTGTTTTGATTCAAAAAAAAAAAAAAAGATTTAATCATAGAATGATCTATCCCATTGCACTGATGGCAATTTAAAAAGCCTATTTTTTTTTTATGACACTCTAAAAACAAACAACACATCGAATGATTCATTTTAATTCCATATCATATCTAACGTTTACATGTAGAGTGATCATCATCAAGTTTGTTTTCAACTACCAAATAATCAATATTCCATTCAAACTGAATATATATAGTTCATCAATTTTTTGGATTATCACCTTTGGGTATGTGGCTCGTGCATTTTATTACCAAAGAACTTAACATGGTAGTAGTATACACTAATAGACATTCAAAAATCTATAAACCTCTCATTATCATAAATCATCCAAATTTGATTATATTTGTTTTATATACGAGTTCTAAGATATATAGGTTAATCACTTCAAATTTTGTTATACCTTACCTATATATCAATATTTCTTTGGCAAGTTTAATTACTATCTAATGAGTTAATTTAAGGCAAACTTGGCTTAGTGAGCCCATCAAAATTGTTCCACATGTTATTTATGGACTCAAACTCAAAATGACTACGACTAAACTACACAGCAATTTAGTAGAAAAATACTCTATAAACTACAATCAACATCCTAATTTTCTGTGCCTTATACATTAAATTTTGATTTACATTTTTATTTTTTTTTCTTTTTTTTTTTTAATTTTTTGCTGGTGCGATTTTTAAAATGAGTAAATTTATTAATAGTTTAATTAAAAAAAAAAAAAAACACTATTAACAAAAATTAGGAAAATCCAAAATGCCAGTGTATAAAACTGCTAGTCTGCTCAACAAATCTTAAATTAAATATATGTAGCGAGAGAGAGAGGGAGATTGATTTATTAAAAGTGCTGTTTACTTCAATTAAATCATTAATCAGTTGATTTTTATAAAAACAAATCATCTTTTTGCAAAAGAACCCCTAAGAGTATGAACTGATCAAAACGGTAAGAAAATACTCATTCTCCGTAACCAACCCACTGCCGCACTGCCACGTACCGCATTGAAGCAGTAATACAGCCATCTTAATCTGTTTCTTTCCCACCGATATTTCCCCAAAGATAGTTATTCACATTTCAAGCCCAAACTTTTGCTGGCTTCTCTCCTCCATCTCCCACATTTTGGATTGCAATGCATCCGTCAAAACCCCAGCTTCAATCCAAAGCCTGAACCTCAACAATGTAAGTCCCTGCAAACATTCCAACTCACTTCGCTGCCTGAAAATATGCATAAAAATAGTTTTTTTTTTTTTTTCTAATTGGCTAAGAAAGATACTTTATAGAAATTAAAAATCAAGAAAATGGATGCTCTTTTTGTAGTTTTCCTTGGAAAAATGAATTTTTTCTGATGAATCCCACTAGGCAACCATCTGACGAGGGCCCGTCGTCTAGGATTACATCGACGCCAGCAGGGCTACTACAATTTACACCGCCAACATGGTACGAAGGTATAGTTCCCCAGCAAAACGGTCTTTGGAGTGCTCAAATCAACTTTAATGGCAGTCTTGTATTGCTCGGAACGTTCAAATCCGAAGTAGCCGCGGCACGAGCTTACGATAGCGCGGGCACGAAACTCAAAGGCGGTGATTTCTACCGTAACTTCTTGTTAACGAATGTCACTATTCATGAATCCTATTTTCAGAGCTCCTACTCCAACGAAGCCATTATGGATATGATTAGGGATGGCTCTTACGAACGCAAGCTCATTGATACTGTTTGGAGTCAGCAGCGTCAATATCAATACATAGGCTATTTAGCAATGCCTACTTGCTTGGACGCTATCCCAGGATTCGTTTTTGAGGAAATGTTTCATAAAAAGCTGATTTTGAATGGCATCGAGGGTCAGAACATACTGGTTTTACCTCATCAAGCTCGTTCGTACTATCCACCATTTAAGTCCACAGGCGGACTACCGCTTGTGTTTAGAGACAGAGTGAATCGGCCATGGGAGTTTCAGTACTGTTACAACAATAGTACTCAGAGTTACATATTCAATATGGGTTGGAGTAAGTTTGCGAACGAGATGGAGCTCCGTACTAAAGACACTGTCGTCTTCTATAGATGCATGGATTGGAGAAACTTTCCTCCAAAAAATTTCGATATGGTTGACATCATCCGGGATGCCAACCCCAAAAAACCGCGGCGACGCTGAGGTTGCATTCATGTTGAAGATTGAATGCTATACGTGCAGCCTATCAAGTATCTAGCCGTGACTCATTCCTCTTCAAAAAAATTGGAATCGCCTTCTAAAATCTTATGTTTAGACAATGGTTTTATTTAGTTGGGTAAAGCTGAAAATATAATTTTAAAATGCAATTAGCATTCGGTAATAAGATTTTTGAATAAGCGTGCAGAGCGCAAATATGGGATGTTTTCTTTTCGAACATTACTCATAAGCATTTATTTATGCTGCAAATTATTTCGTGTTATTGTGAAGTGTTTTGGCTTAGATTTCTCTCTTAGTGTATGCCTCATATAGTCGTGTTTATAAGAGAATGAACAAAATGTTTAATACTATTGCCGCCCATCGTTGTGATGATGATGCTTTACTTTTAATTTTCCTCAAATCAAGCACAAAAGTATAAATTTTGCATGTATCTTCTATCAAACCAAACACTCCGAAATAATTCAATATGTTTCCGCAAGAATGTTGGCAAATTCCACTTTATTTTTATATAACAGAATAGTAAACATATACATACATTCAATTTTAATTTCACTAAATTTACTAACATAGAATTTGTATATATCTAAGAAAACTATTAATTCAAATTAAATTTATCTAATTTATTTGCAAATAATTTAAAATAAAAAAAAAATATAAATCTTAATAAAACTAATAAACTTCAAAAATATTGTAGTTAAAAGAGAAGTAGATAGCAATTAAATTAGATTATGTTAAAAGTGAAGTAGATCTAAAATATACATAAATACAATATAGATCTAAACAAGGACTACATATCAAAGAAATAAAACATGGATTTCGACATCACTTAAACATAACCTACATACAACTTAGATTTTGAATTATAAAGCAGGGGTTTTAACATCACATGAACATAACATATTGTTGAAGACTCACCCCGTCAAACACCTAAAATGTTTGAAAAGAACACCTATGGACTGAGTTAGATGGGAAAGATCTTTAATAAAATTACCCAAATATTTCCAGCAAAAATAGGATTGCAAATTATTGTAAATCTTGTTCCGCAAACGCCTTCAAGAAATTTCAAGAACACCTCCCTATGTTAGCCAAAGGAATGGAATACCGAGCTTCTTTTGTTGGCAGCCGAAGACCTGCCGAACTAATACAAAGCTTCTGTTTCTTGGCAGCCGAAAATCTGTCGAACTCCTTCCTTCTCCAGGGCTGCAGTTCGCCTTCTTTCTTTCTGCAGGATGTGAACACTCTGGGGCCAAAACAGAGGGGCTGGACTGCTGTTCAACACCTACTGTTCCAAGAACTCCCTGCTTACTGTAGCCAACCCTGTAGCAGTTGAGTACCTGCTGCAAATGACACATCCAATTTCTCTGCTGCGGTGCTTGGATGCAGAAAGAAATGGAGACAGCAACAAGTGAAACAAGGGAGGGAAAAAACAGAAAGAAAACTGTAGAGAAGAAACAAAATGCAACAAGAACGTAAACACAAGAAGATTACGTGGTTCAGTCCATAGACCTACATCCACGATGTGAATCACTACCAAATTCACTAAGATAAAAGAAGAATTACGGGCTCATTACAATGAGGAATCACCACGTCTCTCTAGATCTCTCCCTCTCTCTTGATACAAGATCTAAGACCCCTCCCTCAATTCTAAAGCCTCTCCACTTCTTCCTCTCCTTGCTGATTTTCTTCCTCATTTTGATCCTCTTAATCAGAATTTTCTTCTTCTAATGGTAGTCTATCCATCCCACAAGCCCCATAGATGAGGCCTCCCAAAATGCATGAAAATTAGAAGTGAGTCATTTTTCATAATTAAGAGCCATGATATATGACACATATACATTATATAGAATTAAGTGACATACATATGAAAAATAAACATTAAATTTAAAGTACAATAGAGAGAAAGTGTACCATCCTTTACTTTGAAAAGATTTCCCAAATAAAAGTGATTTTTTTTTTCAAGAGATGAAGAAGAAGATGGAAGGTATGATGGTGTGATGCTCGACCAAGGAGAAATGAATGGACAGAAAAGGGAAAGAAATTAAGAAATCAACCATAAGTAGAATAAAGATAAAGAAAAAAAAAGTGGTGGTTTTTGGACATGAGAAGAAGCAGAGAAAAAGTGAGAAATGTGGTGGTTTAGGCCATGCGAAGAAGAAGGGAAATAGAAAAAAATTGTGGTGGTTTTTAACCATGGGGGAAAAGGAAGAGGGAAGGAGAAGGCTAGGGTTAGATCTTAGCCACAGATGGGAGGAGGAGGAGGAGGGAAAGGGACATAGGTCTTGATTATGATAAAATAAGAATTACACCATTTCATTAAGATAATTGTAAAATTCAAATGAGAAAAGGAGATGGGAACGTACTTTGATCATTTCAAGAGAGCAATTTTGAGAATATTTAAAGATTCTTTGCTTTCACCAAGAGAGAGGGAAGATGAAGAAGAATTTTGGCTAGCAGAGAGCAGAGAATGAGAGTATTCAAATGAGCGGAGAGTTTCATCCAAGAGATTAAGGGGGAACAGGTCTGAGGTAGTGGTTATGAATCATAAGTTAGGGAAATATGAACAAAATTTTGAAATGAAGGGTGATGGTTCGGCCCATACATAGAGGGCTAATTAAACCATGATAAAAGAGGGGAAATTAAATGAATTTTGGCTAACAAGTTAAAATTAGGGGGAATTGCAATTTTTGGGCTTTTATAGGTAGTTATGAGTTGGTTATAATTAAAATTTGACCTTGGTTCAATTAGTAAAGCAAAGTTAGGGGAACGCAATTGTAGTGCTGATTCAAGTGAAAGTGGAAGCCATTTTATGAAAATTTAGGTCAAAGTGTGGGCTTCACTCTCGGAGAGAAAATTGAAAATTTTTATGACAATTTTTAATGAATTATTAATCGTTTAGATTTAGTATTTTATTTCAAATTTACTTTAGCTGAAGTTTTGTTTTTTACTTTTAGTATATTTTAAGTGAATCATTATGATTATTTTTTTATAAAAAATATCATCCAAATTAATGTAGTATTGATAGGTCCTCAAATAAAGTCCAATTTGGGCATGAAGAGGCTCATTTCAAATGTTTCAATGATTTAGAAGAACTCTCACGATTTGTTTTAAAAAATAATATTTTGATGCAAAAAATTTACATTGGTTTAATTTTCATGAACGAAAACTAAGAAAAATAGTTTTACTTAATAATTATGTCGGAAATTGTCATCAAACTTATTTGTATAATTTTTGTATATGATAATGATCTTTATGTTTTATGCAGAATAAAATTTAAATATTTATGATGATCTGTGGAGAAAATAATAATTTTGAGGTGCATTTGGATTATGTTATTTTTTTAATTCAGTTTTATGATTTAATTAAAGATAGTCATTTTTTATTTGTATTTTAGTTTGTTTAATTTTAGATATTTTTCAATTAGATTTTAATTTTAAATTAAAGTCTGGGTTGGATCAAATTTTAGCTTAAGCAGGGTTCAAGTTCTAGCTTTCGTGGGTTCAGCTTAGCCATATAGTGATATTATGAAAGGGTTCAAGGTTCAAATGAGATTGGGGGTAAGCCAAGTAGAAGAGTTAACCAAAAATTGAGATTAGCAAATGAACCCTGATACATGTGACTGAGTTTTTGAAGTACAACACATATATTGACATATCTCGAGGTGATCAACTAGGCCCACAAATAATAGTATCACCACAAAGAGTTTGAATTTTAAATTTATGAATTGAAATTGCAATTGAAATTTTAAATTAAATGTCATGATTTGTGAGCTTTAGTGTTTCCCACCAATAGGATCTATTAAAGACTCATGTCGGGGATCAAGACAATGTTACCTAAAGAGTTTGATTAGGATTTTAGGAAAGGAAGTCGAAGAGAAACTTACAACTGACTTAGAAAAGCAACCAAAGAAATGTAAGGATGGTGTAGAGAAGAACAAAATCTTAAAGACATATAAAATTTATGAAAAATACTAAAGATGACGCTATTACCATTCATGTTTTTATTGAAAAAATTTCTATGGATGATGCAATTAAGTTTCATGTCCTATATACTCAAAATTTTTTAAAGTTTTATTTATTAGAACACATTAGAATGGAAATCATAGAAACTAAAATTCAACCAAAGAGGTGAACATAAAGATTTGAGTTCTCTCACTCCTTGGATCCATCGTCGATAGAGTTTTGCCCACTTTTGTGGTAGCTGATGAGTTTTCACACCCTAAGGGCAAGAGTTGAGTTTTTGCTCACTCCTAGAATAGGTGATGAGTTTTTGTTCACTTCTAGGGTAGTTGATGACTTCTTTGTCCACTCCTGAGGTTGGTGATGAGCTTTTGCCTACTCTTGGTATAAGTGATGATTTTGGCCCCTTCTTGGGGTAGGTGATGAGTTCTTGCCCACTCACAGTATATGTGACGAGTTTTTGCCAACTGTTAAGGTAGGAAATGAGTTTTTTTTTTAATTTTTTTATTTTGGAGGAAACCCATGAGGGAATATTATAACTTGCCAAAAGTAACCATGAAAGCAATTTGAAAACGACGTTAGGAAGCTTGTGTTCAAAACAATAAAAAAATTTAATTTGATTTTAGTTATTATTTAAGTATTTTAATATATTTTGTTCAATGGGTTTTAGTTTTTTATTTTATTTGAAGTTTTAGAACCAATGAACATTTTAAGAGATTAGATTTTGAATATTTTTAGTTGGGTTGGAAGAGAGTTAATGTTTAAGAATTTAAAGTTTAATTGAGTTTAATTTCATTCAAGTTTGATCTTAAATTTAAAATTTTGATGATCCAAGTTTTCAACAACAAACCATAAGACTTCGAGGTTGCTCGCCTAGTGCAATATAAATCATCACTTCATCTTTAGGCATTTGTATGATAATGTCGTGCAATTTAAGCCCTAAATTTTTTTAAGATTTTGAGGTTGTTGTTAGTTACGACATAAATCTTCCTATCTTTCAGACTATTTGTGCGATCATCTCACACAAATCTAAGCCCTAACTATTAATAATTGGTAGAATGAAACATTCAACAATCCTATTTCTCGAAACTGAAGCAAAACCATAGGATAGCTTGGGAAGTCATTGAGGTTCTCCTCAGGGTCTGTGACAACCCCTAGTTTTTTTTTCTTCTGATTCCATAATAAATGTTCCAAATTTGAGTCATTCACATTTGACACTTCTTGGTCTAAACTTTAAAAAGTCCTATCCTTTGAAATTCTTGGTTGAAGTTCATGGAGACAACATTTTTTGATCTAAATCGAGAGTTTTCTTAAGTGATTTCAGTCATTTAAGTTGTAATTGACTATAGTGACTTGCCTTTATAGGGAGCTTTAAGAACCTAGGTAATATAAATCCTATCTAATCTTCCACATTAGGTAAGGGAACTTGTCGGCTTATATAAATGGTTCGCAGACCAAACAGATGACTTAAATTGTATAGTTTATTTAATTGAGCCTCACGAATAAGCGATGCATCTATTCCTCGAGATAGATATGTCACTTGTAGTGCAGTGCTCGATCATTTAAACTATTGTCTATATGGATCAGTTTTGTCTCGTATTTTCAAAATTAAAATACTTTTTTTTTTATAAAAATCAAATTTATAAGAATATTAAATTAATCAAAACCACGTCTTAAAATTTAACGGGCAACACATACAAAATTTCACAGATCAAAACATATGTCATAAATTTCTTAGTTTATCTAATCAAGTCTCATTATCAAGTAAATGTTTATTCCTCGGAATATGTACATCACTTGCGGTGTTGCTCTCGTTTTTTCAAACTATTGCATATACGAGATTGGTTCGGTCTCGTATATTCAAAATTAAAATACTACTTTTCCAAAAATTGAATATATTATATATAAAGTTGAATTTATTTTTTTAGCTTCATGTTTGGTAACCAATATGTAGCTCTCAAATGGATACATCCATTGATACTGTAGTGGTCTCCCAAGTAAGGCTTTGTGCTGCAGATGCTCCATTGTACGGCAAATGTAAACCCAGGAGACGACTGACCATGTGAAGATTTTCAATACATTCCCTTCAACTCCTTCCCGGTCATTTCTGCTTCATTCTTTCTGTTTTCTCTGATTTTTCATCTATCCCAGCTCCAATGAGTGGTGATTCATTTTAATTATTTTAATTATCTAAGTATGGCCGCTTTTTTCTACTTTTTTAATTAAAAAAGGACCTTTAATTATTGCCATTAAATTATGAATCATTCGATTTATAAAATTCCACGATAACATTCCATGCATGCATTGCTAACCAAACCAAATCTATTCAAAGCACTCCTTTGAACCGGTCATTTCGCTTTTATAAAAAACTAGCATCTTTTTGCAAAAGAACCCCTATGAAGGGAATGAATTCAAAACGGTAAGCTAGAAATACTCATTCTCCGGAACTAACTCACTGCCACACATCACATTGAAGTGGTAATACATACCAGTAGCCATTTTAATCTGAGCTTCTTTCTCACCGAAGTTGGCTGGCTTTTCCTCTTTATCTCCCACCTTTTGGATTGCCATGCACAAATTATTATTCCCTTCATTCCTCCGTCAAAACCCAAATGATAAAATATTTCGGTTGGTATGCACAAATTATTACTAGATATGTGAATTGATATATTGCGGTTGGTATGTCTGAAAATTCCAACATTTTTTATATATTAAAAAAAACATACGTGAAAATTTTTTTTTGTTTAAATAAATTTATTAACATAGGCTTTGTATAGATCTAAGAAGAAAAATAATTCAAATAATATAGTAAATTTAACTAATTTCTTTGTTTATAATTAAAAATATTAAAAAATGAATATTAACAAAATTAATGAACTTTAAATTTATTGTAGATCAAAGAAAAGTTATCGAACTTTTAAAATTAAAGTAGATCTAAAATATAAATAAATCTATTTTAAATCTAGATAAAAGCTATAGATAAAAAAAATGAAATAAGAATCTTTAAATAGTCCTATATTTGTTGCATTACCCTATTTCAGCATCTTTTTTTTCTTCTCTCCACATAGACATAGGTGGATTTGAGCTGAACCACACAAATCACACCGTATTTAATTATTTGCGTATTGTGTGATTTTATTTACCACATTGTCTTACACAACAATTAGTATCAAATCCGGCTTGGTGTAATGTCCTGTAAGAGCATCAAACCATATATTTGAGCGTTGGAGCAGGTGAGTCGTTAGAGTTGTCGAGGCACTGGAGTCACTGGGAGAGGTGAGGGGAGGGTTAGGGCACGAGGGAGAGGGAAAGAATGAGAGGAATTGGGGATGAGTTAAAGTTCGGGGGAGTAGCGAATTTTGGCAGTGTAAAAGAATCTTTTCGACGGCTTCAACTCCGTATGTTATTAATATTAATACCAACAACATTGATCATTAGTTACTAAAACAACTTGTCGGTTAATGCCCCGCCAAATGTCGGGTTTGTAAGTAACTGACGGCATATGAGGCCTGCTATTTTGTGTTTATAAACAACAGTGAAATGTGTTAGTTATAATAAAAAAATCGTTAACTAATCTATTGTTCATGAGCGACGGTATGTGCTCCTGAAATGCCGTTGGAAACAACTCATTTATCTTGAAAAATACACTTTGATATTAAATACAATTCAAATGAGTTTCAAATTTTTACAGAAGCTTAATATGTTTCCTTTTGATTTAATCTGATCCAATTTTTAATATTATTTTATGGAGAAAATAGCCCAAAAATATACTTTTTATTTAAAGCTTAATTTATTTTCCTTGGATGCCCTTGGTCACAAAGAACACTCCAAAACACTTTTCACAATTTTCTTAATTAAATGTTCTTAATGTGACCTTTTCTAAAATTACACATACACCTCTAAGGACTTGAGAGTCTTGTAGTGAGCTAAGTTTAATATAAAGATACTTGAAGGTTAATTGAAAGATAAACCACAATTATTTCCCTTCAAACACTACAAGCTCGAGACTTGCTTATCCCCTCTCTCATCAATTAATTGAATTATAGAACTGAGCACAACTTAAACCTGATGAACTTCAAGGTGGTCTATTCATCTATTTATATGCTTATGTTACACTTATTGGAAGATTTTTGTGTTGTCTTTCAAGTCTCCGACAAGGAAAAATATTGGAGCTTGGAAATCTCAAATAAAGCTAAGTGACATACCAGCACCTAGGCTTTAGGATTGGGGGCCTAGGCACCTGAAACAACCCAAAAAAAAATGTAATATGAGCGCTTGGAAAGTAGGAACCCCACTAACGACATCTATGCGCCAAAGACGTGGCATCTAGAAGTTGAATACCTCCCAGAATATCTGCACAAGACAAAGCGATTGAAAATTAGGCACTGCTAAGCTGGCACTTCGGCGCTAGAGATTGGTCACATAGGTGCTACCCTTGGGTGCCTAGGAGCTGCCTTAGGGGTCTCGACATCTGATGCACTTTATCAGAAACTGGTGTCTAACGCCTAGGCGTCCCGACCTTACGTTAGGCACTAGTTGACACATGTAAGCAATTTTCCAGTTTGGACGTGTCTCTTCTCGCTAGGAAGAAAAATAAAACCCCTAAATCTTAAGGAGGAAGAGTCTTTTCCTACAATCTAAAGTGTGGAGCTTCGAAGGAGAGGACTGAAGAAGATTTTCAAGTTGCAATTAATTGTATATAGGTGAGTTTTATGAGTGTTAGGGAAACTCTGTGATTGTATCATCTGCATAACAAGTGAGAAGGAAAGGAGATAAGTAAGTACTTTGGATTTCTTTGTGAAGTTTGAGTTCATTTAAAATGTTAAACACTTGCGTGTTTGATTTCTTCTTCCAAACAAAATGTTCATGTATATGTGTACAAGCATGAGTGCTGATTAATTCTCATTTTTTTTTTTGAATTGGGAATGTGGGATTCACGTGTGTGAATTTTTTTTTTGTGATTTTGTGCATAATCTTAATTGGCGATATTTAACCTTCAAAAATTTATGTACTTTTATTATGACCAAGTGAATTTAGTGGAACGATACGTTTAATCACATTAACTCTGGGGCATAGGATATTGCCTCTAGGTTAGTGCAGATTTTATGATGGGAATTAATTTTTAGGGCTAGAAAAGGAACAAAATCAAGTTTCTTAGCCAAACATTCTTAGACTACCGGAAAGTGGTAGGGAAGAGGGTTGCTCTTGTGTGTCACTTGCTTGATTAAATCATTTTTCACACTTTTTTGTCCAACTGATCCTTTTCAGGAGAGAATCTTATAATCATTTGAATATTATTTGCTCTCAACTATTGCTAGCATATAATATTTTGAACTCGATAACTTAGGATTAGTCATTTTAGCAATTATTGAAACTTTAACATTTAGGCTAGGATCGACGATTGTAAACTAGAAAATTTTCTTTTGGGAATCATCTCATTCCCTGTTGGATCAATACCTGGAACATTATTATTGATACTATTAATATGACCCATATACATACGTGAGTCACGAGTGCTTTACGGCATTTGGTTCGTATCGGACATGTAAATGAACACGCTCTTACAAATATATATATATATATATATA